CCTTGCTCCTTCCTTCCCGTCTTCTTTCTGATTATTATAGAAAATAAGAATTATTTTTCTCAATTATCCAAATAAACATGCATCGTTATCGTTCTAACGTAACCGAGAATGGAAATATACCAAGAAGCTTGTGGTCTTATCGATGCAGCAACTGGACTTTATTATTTGTTACGATGCAGTCATGTCGAAAGTAGTTAAAATCGTCATCTCAATTGACCTGATATAAATCACTCAGACCCCCTGTGAGCGTACTCTATGTACAATCGTACATATGTAAATTAAAATCATACGCGAATAGTTGCGTGGAAAGAGGTAATATCGTATTGTATGTACAAAACGACATAACAGAATCCGGTGAAACTACTCTACAAACTGGATTACATAATCTCGAATCGTGCCATACTGTGTATGGCAGAAAACGAGCGGGATTTTGAAAGACAAGTTTCGAAAGGGATCTCAGTGTAGGATTAATCTCTCTCACTTTATATTATATTTTCACACTTTTCTTTCACATTCAGGCTTGCTTGCGTTTTAAAATAATTAAATTTATCTTTTTTACCGAGGCGTGTCTTCCATTGAAATTATTTACTTTCTACTTCTATTATTTCTATTATTTATCCGTATATTATTCTTACTTTCTCATTTTACTATGCATGCATAAATAACTGACAGAGCTTGCGAATATTTATGGGAATTCTTACTTTCGTGAACCTAGGTATAATTTATCATATCTCGCGCGACACATGTGTTGTACATGTTTAATAAAATGTCTTTTCTTCCTTGTCATTAGACTGCCGATATCTATGCAAATTCAAATCATTAGTGAACATAATTACTAGAAATAGAAATGACGCGACTTTCAGATTTGTTTCGTTCCCTGAATACTACAAGGATTAGTATATATCTTAAATATTTCATGTATTTCTGTGTATTATATTCGGTTTTGTGGATTCTTAATTTCTTTTAATAAATGCGTAGAAATTCACAGTCTGGTTATTGTTATTAAAAAATTCCTTGTCTACGATTAAAATAAATGCGTTTTTACGTACTATAAAAGATCAACGATTCGTCGTGAGGAGGAAGAGAGAGAAACTCGCCTCTCCTTCCGGTTCCATTATTCTCGTATATGTAAGAACTTATACATATACGGAAATCTCATATTCGCAATGGGTAAGATCATCATGCAAGAAGTTCGTATCTCCCACGACAGTAAAAATTACTATCTAAATCTCGTAAGATGTTCTCATCATTTTAACGCCGGATTGCTCGTTTTCTTCTTTTTTTTTTCTTCTTCTCCAAGTAATTTTTTATTCACGCATCGCGAAAATTTGTTTCCAAACTCGTTCACGTGTTGCATAATCGAGAGAAGAACGAACGTTCACTGCTTGAAAAAAAAAAAAAAAAAAAAAAAAAAAAAAGAATTAAACAGTTGAGAAATTTCAAAATGAAGATAGTAAAGAATCAGAAGCAAAATGTTTGAAGCTATTTATAAAAATGTCTTGCTTCAATGACTCAGAGGGAAGATGACACAAGGAAAAATCAATATTTGCATTTCCGATAGGCAAACTGACCTTAAAACTCAACAGAATCTCAGTAAGATTGAAAGAATAATTTTGACACAGACACTTATATTTGTTTTTCTTTTATTTCGTAATTTTCCATTTCGTCCTATATTTCACTTCACTTTTGACCTAACTGTGAAACCATACCAAAATTATTAGTTGGAATTGCTGCAAGTAAAACGGAAACTTTCTTAATGTACCATCAACTGTATATTTTGACCGTGCACAACTGATTTTTAAGCCTGACATATTTAAATAAATCTCGTGACACTTGCAATTTAGCAAGTTTTTGCAATAGAGCAAATTTAGAAATTTGAGCACATCTTTTCCAGCTGGACCTTACAATACAAAGTCAGGTTAAAGAAAGTTCAAATGGAAGTCTCAGCGACATGAAACTCTGTCGAGAGAAAATCTCCTGTTTCAAAGGCACGGATGAATCAAATGTCCATAATCCTTGTTATTATAGCTATATGACCACACATGTACAGTCGATGGAATGTTAAAACCTACATATATATAAAAAGGGAGTAATAAATACGATAAATCTTAGCAAGAACATCGTTGGACAGATAGCTGAAACAATTGCAAGCTTTCAAAAAAAAAAAAAAAAAAAAAAAAAAAATGGTAGAAAGATTTGCAAAAATTAATGGACGAAGACAAGGGAAGGCGAACAAGATGTTCTTTGACCGCTTTCTTGGGGTCTCTAGTTGGTCGCCATGACGACCTGAAGGGTCCATGCTCTCTAGCACTCTCGAGGTCGACAAGGACAAGTCGTCAAGGGGTGCCAGCAACACTCGTTCCTACCGCTCGTCACATATTCGCGAGAACTCTTTTCATTCTGACAAATGCCGTATTTCTCGTACACCAGCAACCCGTGTAGTCTCAGTTCTAAGAATAAGGAAAATAAGAAAGATGCTCCAACTTCGTGAGAAAGCAATTGTGCATTTGCCAGAGGATGATGCAGACTATAAAAGTAAATTCAAGTTTATCAAAAGAGTATTCGTTTTTTTTTTTTTTTTTATTTCAATTTCATTCATTAATTTCTAATTAATTTGTCTCGAAAGTTATTGAAATAAAATGAATAGTCCAAGGGAACAACAGATCTTCAACATCAAGATGTAATTTTCAAAATCATCGTTTGTTCCCCTAATTTCTGGGATTCTATCTAAAGTTCTATTGTAAGTTTCGCTACGAGCCTTCTTTATTCGAAGGAAGTAGAAAATAACATACCAGTTAGTACAGAGTCGTGAAACTTTTCTCACGGTTCTTTTTAACTTGTCTTCTTAGGAGGCAAGTAGAAAGGGCTTCGATAATTTCTGCCATCGTCTTTTCAAATTAAAGTATCTTTCTGTACAATTTTTCTTCGCGAAATTATAGCAGTTGAAAGACTGAATTTCTCAATAAAATCTTCACCTAATTCGGTACAATTGGCTAACTAATTTATTTTGGCATGTTGACACTGTCTGAGAAAAAGGAACATTTAGAATTCAAGTGTCATTAAAAAACTGACGTGAGTTAATCACTGCTCGACGTAATCCGGTTGCAAAAATGCAATTTCTGCAAACATACATG